AACAAATATTGGAGACTCTTTTGATTTGTAAAATCTTGCATTCTTATCAACATAGAATGTCTCCATAACTTCACAGCAAGGATGGTAATCGTGACTTCCAAATCACCAGTAGGGTAATTCATCTCATGAGATTCCATTTGTCGTGAAACGTATGCAATCACCCTAACATTTGCATCAACATGCATCCAATACCATTCAAGAAACATCACTAAAAATTTATGATTACCACTATTCTCTGGGATTACTAAAATACGTGCATGAGTAAGGAAATACTTCAGTTGTTGAATCCTTTGCTCACAATTTCCTTCCCATTCATACATAACCTCTTTTCTCAACAGTCTCGTCAATGACAAAGCAATGACTGAAAAAAATTTTCACAACCATCCAAGATAGCCTGGTAAGCTAAGAAATTCTAAATCTCAATTACGACTCGTGGTTGTTTCCAAATTCTCAATTTCTGCTATCTTTTAAGGATTCACTTGAATACCTTAAGAATATATAACAAATCTCAGAATGCCACATGATTCATCTAACTTTAGCATTTGCTACTTAGCATACAACAGACATTCTTCCAATCTTTGTTCCACCGACTTAATACGTTTACATGTTCTGCTCTGGCTCAGAATATGCCAGAATATCTTCAATGAAAATGATATCTATTTATCAAAGCATTATTGGAATACTTCATCCAATAACTCATAAAACAACATGAGTATCCATATAGCATCACCAAACTTCATAAAGACTATAACGAGTCCATAAAAAACAATCTTAGGAACAACGTTACTCATAATCTTCAATTGATAATAAACAGACTTCAAGTCAATCTTTGAAAATATACAAGCACCTTTGAACTGATCAAATGAGCATCAATACACCACAATGGATAACGGTTCTCATTCGTTACCCGATTCCATTATCTATAATCAATGAACAATCTCTAAGTCCATTTCCTTTCTCACCAACAAACTGGTGCTCCTCAACAGTGTTGTACTAGGTTGAATAAAACTTTTATCAACCAATTCTCTCAACTGAATTTCCTATTCCCTTAATTCATCCTGAACCAATCTCCAATATAAATTTATACCTGGCAACAAATCAATAGTGAACCTCATATCTCTGCCTGAAGGAAATCCAGGTATACTTTCAAGGAAGACATCAAGAAAGTCTAACCCCTTTTGACATTATTCACACTACTCCAAACAACATCATTTAGCACCACATGAGCTAAGTATTTTTGACAGCCTTTCGAAAACAATTGCTTTGCTCTCACAGCATAAATAACGGCCTGACTCAATCCATTTTGCATACTTACAAAAGTAATCTCTGGTCATCCAGATCGATGGAAAGTAACTGGTTTCCCGTAATATTCCATCTAGTCACAACTATAAATAATCAATCTAATGGAATAAAATTAACTGACCCAATACATACTTTATTATTACTGAACATTCTAAATAAGTACAACACTAACATAAAATAACATACCGGTTTGCTTGCTTAACGAATCCACGAATGAGTTATTAATATTACGGTCTGCAGCCCGCAATACTGATAAATCATCGTTGTCTCGATAAGTAAGCAACAATTCCCAAAGGTGTAATACTATCATTTTTTTTTTTTCATTAGAATACACATATACGCCTCTATCACGTTCCAACATTACTTTCTTTGGCATCATCGTCCATACTCAGAAATATATCAGCCGGAGTCAACTAGAATGACCTGTACGGCTGATTCTCCAGCTCAACCATCTATGCTAGCACATTAGTCGGAGTCACTTATAGTGACCTGTACGACTTACACATCAATTCCCCAGTAAATACGTCGGCCGGATCCACATCTTGTGGTCCGTACAGCCGAGCCTATAACTCACCAATTTCTCATGTGTCAGCCGGATCCACCTCTTGTGGCCTGTACGGCTGAACATATAACTCATCAAATCTCTCGGTACTCATGGTCAATCCAACCAAACTACTAAGTCCATAACTCTGCTGAATTGACACTATGATATCATGGAAAATTGTTGAGTACAACTGATTATAGGGACGATTCACAATTATGTGTCCCCTCTGTTTACATAAACACATTCATTAATTTCACATTTCCCAAAGTGTTAATTTTGTACCTGCTGCACAAGGTACATTTCCTTTACTCGAGACACCTTGTCTCAAATATCTGGGATTATCAGTATATCCATCACTTTTATTCTGACCAGCGACATTAAAAACTCAGCTGGAAGAATTAACTCTAGCTTCATTTCTTTCGAAGCTCTGAATCTTTCTATATCCTTGATATGACGAATCATTAACTCTATCGTCTTCTTTTGATTCCCATTCATTTCTTATTCTTCTTTATTCTCGTTGCTCATGTTCTCAGAGTCCTCAAGACTCAACAACATCTAGCATACTCCTGATAAGAACTACAATGGATAGTGGTCACCCAAAATACCACTTCCCCTTTTTGCCACCCAGCTTAAAACAACATAACACCTCCACCAAATTAACAACAATATCTGGATGGAACGAGGCAAGTCTGAAAACTTTCTATAATATCCCTCGATCATCACCTTCCTTGTCTCATATTTGTAAACTCTTGTTTACTACCATCGATCAATGCCGGAGGAATAAACTTTTCCTTAAACAAGTCCTTAAACAATTTTAAATCGGCTGTTCCTCCGGTGACAACAAATCATACTCCTGTTTCCACCAGGATACAAATTCATACCCAAAACTAGGTAGTCGTCTCAACCCCTTGTCAAAAGGAAATTTCCATTGACTTGCATAATCTGAAACATCTTTTCCAAATGGTTAAACCGTTACTTCGCTCCCTCAGGTTCATCATTTCATAAGGTGATTCAAATTCAACTCATAACCCGTCTTAAAATGTCAATTTTTATAATAGACTGAATCACCATAAAAATAGTTTCCCCCAAACCGCTAAATCAGGGAGACTAAATTCCTCTAACTACGTGGTTTGCTACGAGGCGGTGTAGTTCTGACAGAATTCACTCGGAAATTCTCAAGATGTCCAGGATTGCAACCATGCTCTGATACCAACTGACACACCCCGTCCCGAAGGAGGGCATGCTGGCCGTCACGTGAGAGTGACGTAACCATTTGCACAGTACGGAAGCTTTAAGATACAATTCCTAAGTTGATACACCCGAAAGTGAGTCCTAATTTTGTCCAATCTGTCAGAACACCGTCGAATTCCTCGTAGTCACCACACCTTTGTGATTCATGAACCTGGAGGGGCGCAAAACCAAAATTGAGTGGGTCAGTAAAACAATTCTTTTTCAAATCCAAACATTTCTCAAAACGTTGTAACCCCTCTCCGTAAAACCTGTATACTTTCCCAGAAATGTAAAATATAAATATACATATATATATTCTCAATACTTCAATTCATTAACTCAACATTTTTCAGTACAAATATGCCATGCCATGTCTAAATTCAACAGTATAATATGAATGCATCAACATAAATCAGGTGAAAGAAAATAATCAACCGGGGACCCTACAATGGTCCTGTACGGTTGAATCTAGAGCTCAAAATATCATCTAACCGGAGTCACCAACTGTGACCTGTACGGCCATGCCGGAGTCACCTAGTATGACCTGTACGGCACTACACTGCACATAAGTCGGAATTACCTAATGTAATCTGTACGACTTAATGGTGTAATAATATGCTCTAGTGCTTTTCTCATCAATCATCTGTGCACATAATCTAAGGTCACCTACCAGTCGGAACCCCTCTAATGGTCTGTACGACTGGCATGTCGGAACCACCCCCGGTGGTCTGTACGACTAGCATCTACTTGGATCCAAGGTGAGCATACGATGCGGTGAATAATAATAAGCACTAATACCAAGGTGCAGTTTATGAGCTCAACATATCTCAACATCATCATAACAGTAATAATACTCACCTGATACTCACCTGTGTGTCCACAGCACCATTTCATATATATGCATCATATCTCAATTCATACTTTTCATATCATTTCATGCATGGCAATTCGATTCACATTTTCTATATACTTTCATATCATTTCTATGCATGGCATTTCAAATCACATTTTTCATATGAATCTATGCATGGCATTTTGAAAGCATACTTCCGTTAAATTCAATTTCTGGGAAAACGTCAAGTACATATATATACGGAAAACAAAACTGCCCACTCACCTGGAGTTCGTCCAACAACTCCCTAGCACCACACATCAAGGCGTCACGACGATCGCCGCCCTAGAATAGTAATCAAATCCAGGCTCAGAATTCATATCGATAAAATATATAACTTATATAAAATACGTCACTACGTAGTTCGATTCGGAAGATCCACCACTCAGATTTTAAATCCATAACTTCCAGAGGTCCACATTATACCTCTAGGACAACATCCTAAAATTTCATTACCATCCAACGGTCGGATCTCCGTCAATTTCCAAAACTAAGTGACGGTTAACATTTTATATTATGGACTTACAATTCCAATTCCGGAAGATCCGTAACTCGGATTCCTAATCCATAAGTTCCAATAGTCCTTAAATATTACGTATTGCAACGTATCAAAGTTTTGGTGACGATCCAACGGTCGGATCATCAATTCACATTTTCACCAAAACTATAAAACGTTTATTCGAACACCTAACCAACAATCCTTAATAACTTTCTCATACGGTGCTCAAATTGGGTATATGAATATACCACGGTGATCTACTCGACGTCACGGACGTCGACATATTTTTAAATAATTTTTATTTTTATTTTTATTTTTTACTGTAGCACCTTCTTCTTCCTTGGGTCGCCGGACTGGTTTTTCCGGCGGCCGTTTTTCCGGGCAGTTTTTCAAATTGCCATAACTTTGTCATTTCTCAAACGAAATCAAGTGATTCAAAACGAAAGTTGTAGCCCTTGAAGAGACAAAGAGAATGGTACCTTGCACAACACCTAGTTCGGCCGTGGTTTGGCCGGAAACTGCCTCGAAAGCCTCGGAGGTCGCCGGAAACTGGGTATTTTTCAAATGAGTATATAACTTCTTCAATACTCAACGAAATTGAGTGAAACAAAAAGGAAAGTTGTAGTACTTGACGAGACGAAGAGATTGATACCTACCTCGACTCCTAACTCGCCGGGGATTCGCCGGAAAATGCCTCGAAAGCTCCGGCCAAACTTTGAACTCGTCGATCTCCGTGTTCTTTCGTCAAAAACTTCCAACGAAGCACTCGAGCTTTCGTGGGAACCTCCTAGAGCTCCCTGTGAGCTTAGATTTCCCTAAAACACAACATATTCAAAGATCATGAACAGTGCTCTTCACGGGAACTTTTAAAACTACGTTTTCCGAAGTAGAACTTACCTGAAATTGATGTCTACGTGATCGTGGAAGTTCCAGGAGTCCAAATGTGGTCTTACCTTGGACGTTTGTTTATGTTTTAGGTGGTTTTGGGTGAGGTTGAGCGTCGGAGAGGAAGAGAGAGAGAACTGAGAGTGAGAGAGAGTCGTGAGGGAAGAGAGAGAGACAGGTACGGGAAAGAGGGAAAGAATTAAGGGGTGTGGG